ATCACGTACCTATTGTATGCCAAAATATTTTGGCAATGTGATTATTAAAGGACAACAATAATGCAAGAAACATATCTTGCATATAATTTTGACCATGACCATAATTTATAACTTTCTCTTTAAAAGAGATATTCACCATATGGATGTTGATGAATATACAAAATTAATTGAGAATTCTGGAAGAGCCAATTATACTATTTTGAAGAAACACAATTGATTACCAATAAGATATTGTGACGTAGTAAGTCTCAAAAAAACTTATTCAGTTTCCAAAGTATACGCGAAAGTGGTTGATTATATTGAGACTATAAATAAAGGAAAGATTTAATATCTTCTATTACTACAACTTGTAGCGGGGTAATATATATGTGAAAAGTTACCCGCTTTATTCTCCAGTTTGTACTACACAAATAAACGAATACCAAAATAAAGTGGGTGTTTATTGATATAAAAATACATATCATAATAAACTTGAGTTTATTGATAATTGCATACGTCATGGTGTAAATCTGAAGTTTATCAATATTGATAATTTATTCAGTTGGCATTTGGGTTAGTCATATCAATTCACGTATGATGTGCAAAAATAATAGAGAATTCACATAGGTAAATATTAAAAAACTAGAAAGTTCTTTACAAATTTTCTTACATTGCGTGTTCTTATTAATTAATAGACCAACTAAAATTGGGATTGAATCCCATGAATGCTGGAAATATCAAAGGTGAATATGTGCCCATTCACCTGCCATGTATACCACATAAGATGCATCTATGAGATAGTTACATGTGTAATTATTATTAACCCGCAACATGGTATTTTGCGAGGTAAATTGCTCAATAATTTAATTTCGAGCATAATTTTCAGATTTTCTATTCAAGAAGTTCATCTTGATAAGTTGGTTTACATCATAGCTGGTTTAGCAAAATAATTTATTGAGTGCCTCCACTTAATAGCTAAACTATTGCTTATGAGAACAAAGTTATCTATATCTGTTTGATATATGTTTATATACGAAAGTATATTATATTCTCCCCTCACAAGTGGTTCAGGGTCAAGAATCAAATAATTCCATCTTATTATTATTGATGTGCGGTGTATATTTTTATTAACACCATAATGCACAAAGATGAATTCTCAAAGTTGAGGAAACAAATTAGTTTTTCTAACATGGGGGGATACATGATAAACAGTTGAGAAAACGTTACGTGGAATGAATTATCATGTGTACATCTAGATCCTCGAATAAAATAATATGAACTTGAAGTTCATAAAAGGATAATTCATTTGCAATATATTGTAAAGCATGCCAGACGCATTTGCTGGTCCAAAGAAAGTAACTATATTCTCATTGCAAATGTTCATATTAAGCCCTAGAAGGACAAAGTCTATGGTACGCTTAAACCATATAGACAAATCGGTTTCAAATAAACTTCTTGATAAAGAAGTTGAGCAAATGAGCAAAATGATCATAATAAAGGAGGCAAGTGATCTAGAAGATCACATGACATAACACTTCATAAAATCTCATGAGAGATTCAGGTACCTGAATATATGAATGAAGAGATCTTTATGTTATGTCTTTATGAAAAAATATTGGAACCGATATAAAATGTTTATCGATGACATCTATCATAGCGCTAAGTATAGATGAGGATATTAAGTCTATCGAATATAGACACAAAAGTATTGGCCAATTGGAAGAGACACAATTCAAGTAGAACTGATTCCATATGAAAGACATATAGTTTTGGACCTATAGTTCAAACACTTGAAAGTATAAAGTCAATGATATGTGCAATCAGTTTTCGATATTTTATTTGTCTAGCATAACATGAAAACTTGATATGCATCTAAAATCTATTATATGGCTTATATGACTTAACTTATATGACAATCCATGAAGGATTTAAGTTGCTTAAAACATATACAATTCTTGATCTTGAAGTACTACTTCCTCAGTGCAATTTGTGCACAAATGTATCTTGCTATAACTATAAGCATGATAATGTGATAGCGAGAATACCTCTATGGAGATATTGAAAAGCCATTCCATGACATTATATGAAGACATTATATATCTATCAAGAATGATGATTTCAAGGTGCAATATATTCATTCAAGTTAATATGGCTGATTTATTTATCAAATCTCTACCAACGATCTTTTGAAGATGGTACACAAGATTGGAATGCACATGTTCAAGGATGTGAATTGATGCTCTCATCAGGGGGAGTTAATACACATTGCACTCTTTTTTCCTTACAAGGTTTTGCCCCACTGGGTTTTCCTTGCAATGTTTTTAACGAGGTAACCAAAAGGCGTATTGTTAGATATGTGTACTCTTTTTCCTTTTCTAGAATTTTTTTCCCATTGGGTTTTATTTTAGTTAAGATTTTAATGAGACACATTATCTGTTGAATAGACATTCAAGGGGGAGTGTTATAAATAGAATTGTATTTAAGGTGAATGTCTATATTTAGAGAGATTCTAGGGATTATTACTTGGTGGCTAAGTCACTATTTCCCTATAAATAGAGGGTTCTATTCCATGTAATTCATCCCAAAATCAATAAGAATTCTCTCTTTACTTTTCTCTGCAATACTCTTCTTCTTCTTTTATTGTTTTATAACATAATCTATTTAATTGATTAACTGTGAACTACGTGGAACTTGATTCTCATTTTATTTTTGACTGAAAAAGAAGGTATGTTGGCAGCTCTCCTCAAGAAGAGTGAAGTTCCGCTCGCATTTGAAGGCTAGCTCCTGCTTCAGATCTTCATGCCCGCATCTTATATATTGGATTGTTATAACATTTTACTTTCCTTTCCCTTTTCAATTTACGATTTATCTAAAATGTTATACGTATTTAATTTTTTCTTTGGAAACTTGTCAATCTAAAAGTCGGCGAGTTTTCTCATTTTTATTAACTCGTCCTCCATCATGGACGTCACACGAACATTAAAAAAAAAAAAAAAAAGGAAAAAATTGGTCGCATAAACTATAGATATAAACGCATCCATCAGAGATGTGAAAGAGGTTATAAGTAATCTAGTCTAGATTAATTAATGTCCATTAAAAGGAACACAAGCAAGAGTGGATATAGGCTTTCAAATGAATGCATAACTTTCTGTATGGAGTATGGATTTTTATGTAAAAATTTGCTAAAACTTCAATAAAATTCAGATTTGAACTTATAATGTTAACAGTTAATGAGTTCAGTACAAAAAATCTTACAAATAAGCCTATCAAATTTAAATACTGAATTCGCCCCGAACGCAAAGTCACAAGGAAAGAAGGGAAGCAAAGTGAGATTCTCCACCATGCATGAAACTATTAATGACTGAAATTCTTTAAAGTATTAATGCAGAAAGTGGACAGCCCTTTTAACACCAAAAAAGTTGTTAGCTTTTCTCACCCTTTCAGATTGATTTTTAAACTTTTCTTATCTCAGAGTACTTTTCATTTATGCACCTTTTTTCGTACCTTTAAGTGCATCACCTTTTCCAAGTACTTTTTCATCATCTTGTCATATTAATAATATAATTAAAAGATAATATGATAATGATATTCATTAAGTAATGTATATAATATTGTAAAGATATATATGAACCTGAAGAACACTTTCTTCCTCTCTTCATGCATAAGGAATTTGTGTAAGAAAGTCGGCATTCTTTAAAACCTAATGGAATTAAGACACACGGAAAGCATAAATAGGCAGAATTGTCTTGACTTAAAAAATTCTTTTCGTTAATTTTCAATAACCTATTGTACTAGCTTGTTTGAGTTAGGTAATTATCCATTTTACAATTATTGTTTTAAATTCCTCATTGAGAGAATAGATACCCTCGTGTCTGCTGGTAATTAAATTCTTGATTCATATTTCATGTGTAGCCTTCTTAGCTGCTTAATTGGATTTTTTTTTTGGGTGTGATAACAGATACTATATGTAAATAGTAAAACTGAAAAACAGTCATTACATAATAGAGGGAGTTTTATATACTAATAGAGGCGGAGCCAGAACTTGAACCTTGTGAATTCAGAATTGTTATTATTTTAAGTTATTGATTCTAAATTAATTTTTTTAATTAACTTGCCTTCACTTCAGGCATAGTGCTTTTAGTGTTGGGTGAAGGTAAACCCTTTTCATTCCAGCAAAAAGAATAGAGTGAGGAGGGTTCTCTATATATATATATATATATATATATATATATATAAATTTTTTAAGATAAAATATAAGATTTTAACAAAAGCTACTAGGTTCGGCTGAACCCGCATCCTACACCCCGACTCCGCCCTGTTTATATACACTCAAGTTTCTAAGTGTAGCCAAATTATTATATGTACTATGTATATTCTAAATAAAGAGGAGCTTAAGAGCAACGATAAAGTTGTTCATGTGTGACCTATAGGTCACGGGTTTGTGCATGGAAATAAACCCTAATAATACAGTCATTCACTGAATCTTACGTGAATGCGGAATACTTTGTGCATTGGGCTGCCTATCCGAAATTTGTTTATAGTTGGTTGGAGTTGCCGATGCCTAAAGTAGGGTTGTGCACGGATCGGATCGGATCAGATTTAGCATATTTTGGATTCGGATTTTGGATTCTGAAAAGGGCAATCCGAATCTGATCCGAATTAATATTGGATCAGATCGGATTTTAAACTTTGGATCGGATAATTTTTTGGATTGTCGGATCGGAATGTCACTCAATTAAGTCATACTCATTACTCAGAATTCATCGATACTCACCATTCACCAAAGACATTTTAAAAGCTGCTGAATTAAGTCATACTCACAAGATTACTAAAAAGCTGATGAATTAAGTCCTAATTTAACACCATTGAAAACTTATCCAGCTTCAACATAAACAGACGTGTCATCAGCTAATTCCCTTTAGTGGTTGGAGTATTTGTTCGAAGTACATAAACAGATGTTGGAAATCACTTTCCAAATACAAATTGAGCAATTATATTTATCAGTGAGAACACCATTCATCTCCAAACAAAACCACAATCTGAAATATTACATAATGCAACAATTGTCTTTCAAAGTTTCAAACCAAACCAAACTTAAAGCCCCAAACAAAACACAATCAATTGTCTTTCAAATCATACTGTCACAACAAAATAAAACAAATCAAACTATTAAAATCCCCAACAGTTCTTTAACAGATTACACAAAACAAAAGAGTTTCAAGTTCCAACTTTTGGGAAGCTGCAACAGTCAACACAACCAGCAACCAGGTCAAATGTAGCTCTAAATCTCAGATTCTCAATAGGACTGTGAGACAACCAGTTAAAAATCTGCAATTTCAAATAATTCAAAGAGCATTTTCAGAGAAAGAAGAAGACAGTTCAAGGCTTCAAGCTATCCAGATTCCAGAAACATACAACAACACAAGAAGCAAGTGTATAATGAAATACCTGAGCTTGTACAACAAATGGAAAATCACTATACGTCGACAATGCAAGGCTCTCTTCCAATATTAATAAATTCTGTATAATAAGATAGTAACACAATAAATTAGTTTAGAAGTAATCTAAATAAACATACAAATAAAGTATACATTAAACACAAGTAATAAGATAGGCTTACCAGCTTCAAGTTGTTCAAGATTATCTAAATCTTCTTCAATTTTAACCGGAGTTGTTGATTCATTTCGAAGCCAATATTGGATAGACACAAGAGCTTGAACCAATCTAGGAGTCAATGAACTCCTAAATAGATCAAGTATGCGTCCGCCGGTGCTAAAGGTTGATTCTGAGGCAACACTAGAAATCGGAATGGCTAGCACATCACATGCCATCTCAGCAAGAGTGGAAAATCTAGGTGAGTTCAACTTCCACCACCCTAGAATGTTAAACTTTTAATGGTCTTCCTCAACATCTTCACCCAAATATTTATCTAACTCCGTTTTAGAATCAACTCCGCCACATTTCTTATGCTTCTTTAAATCTAGCATGAATTTTGAGAGCAATGATGAAGAAGATGGAGAAGATTGACATGAACTAGAACCATCATTTTTTATTGCATACACATTGAATAAAGTATCCATGTATGTTTTCACATCCTCTTGTATTTTCAAACCTATTATTTCTCCAAACATAGCACCAAGCGCAAATGAAAGAGTATTAAACTTATGGCGTGGATCAAGCACACATAACATAAAAATAATTTTGGTCATCTTATGTGGATCCCCCCAACACATATTTTAAGAAAGTGCACATTAGACATAATATAAAGTGTACCTGATACTTTCAAGGTGAGTTCATAAAATTTTTTCAGAAACTTCATCGTCTTACACTATCCCAATCACCACTTAAAAGTGGACCTGCAGGTTGTCCATCCTCACAAATGCAGTTAGAAATACATGACATCAGACCATAATCAATATCACAATATTTTATAAAGGCTTCCTCATAAACTGTAGCAACCTTCAACATCAAATATGTGGAGTTCCACCTAGTAGGAACATCCAAGCACAATGATTTTTTAGAAGTTATCCTATCAAGATCACAATATTCTTTAAACTTTTTCCATCTTGCGGGAGATTGTCTTATGTACCTAACAACTTGTTTTATTCATTCAACAGATACACTCCCTTCTCTCAACCCATCTTGAACAACTAGATGATGATTTGAGCCATACATCTCACATGAACATGCTTACCTTCCATCAAGTTAGTGTTCCATCTAGTAAATTGCTTGGATAACTCTATAACCATCACATCATTATAACTCGCATTATCAACTGTCATAGTAAATACTTTATCCACTCCCCATTCAAGTAAACACTAGCAATACCACTAGCTAAATCTTGACCTTTATGACTAGTAATTGGACAAAAATTCAATATCCTTTTATGCAATTTCCAATTCTTGTCAATGTATTGGGCTGTAACACACATATAATTAATTCTTTGAATTGAAGTCCATGTATCAGTAGTAATACATATTCTCTGTTTTGATTCTTTAAGAATAGACTTCAAAGCAAGTCTCTCTTCATGGTACATCTCAAGATAATCCCTAGTCATAGTAGTACGGGATGGAATATGAAATAAAGGTTGAAGAGTTCTCACAAAGTCTCTAAATCCATCTTTTTCAACAGAAATAAAGGGAAGTTCATCTTTAATAATCATACGAGCTAAAGCCTTCCTACATGCCTCTTGATCAAATTTCCAAGGGATAACTGAAACATCACCTGCTAGATCTTTCGGTTGAAAACCTAATGTTGTCTGGCTACCTTCTGCCTTGTAGGGATTGGTCGGACATTTGGGAATATACAATAAGTAATTGCTTGTGACACTATGCTTGGTATCGGCTACATATTCTTCTAAACAATACTTGCATTTCGCTTTTTTCACACCCTCGGCATCAGTGAACTTGTTGAATTAGCGCCAAGTAATTGATCTTTCTTTAACCATTTTTCTTTTTTTTCGAACCAGATTTAGATTCATTATTGTTGGTTGTGGAATCAGTTGAAGCTTTATTTTCACCAACTTTTTTAACAATTTGAAGTTCATTCTGTGTCTCTACCTCGTTTTCCATCTACCAAAACAAACAAAAAATCAAAATAAAATCAGAAGTAGAAGATAGAACATGAAAGAGACATAAAAAACAGAACATAAAGCCAAATCGATACATACATACAAAAATTGGAAAAAGACAGCATGAAAATTAAAAATAAAGATGTTGTAATCTCTCTGTAACTCACACACAAAAAAAACACAAAAAACACACATTATTTGATTTCTGCCGTGAAATAAAAGGTGGAAAACATCACATTTGAGCTCTAAGAGAGAGGGAAAAAGCAAAAATGAAACCAGTAATAACTAATAGTTAGAGAGAATGCCAGGCTTACCGCCAATTAGGGTTTTGCATCGTTTGCTCTTGATTGGAAATCGAACTGTGATGACTTGAGAGTTGAGACTTCGAGAGGAGTTTTCTATTTCACTGGACTTTGGAGTTCACTGACTTGAGACTTCGAGAGGACTGAATCAATGAAGAATGAAGAGTGAAGACGAGAGGCGGAAGGAAGCTTGGTCTTCACTGGATTGAACTGTGAAGAGAGGTGGAAGAGAGGAAATATGTGAGAGTGAGAGAGAACATCGATATAACTAGGGGTTGTCTGATAAATGAATAAGTTTACTTAACCCTAAAATTTTAGGGTAGTATTTATATATAGGCCCTTATAATTTTGAATTTTGGATCGGATCGAATTAAAATCATGCCAATCCGAATCCAATCCGAAAATCTAAAATTTTATAAAACATAATCCGTATCCAATCCGAAAATTCGAAATCTGAAAATCCGAAATAGAGTGGATCGGATCGGATTTTGGATATCTGATCCAAATGCACAACCCTAGCCTAAAGGGATAATCAGCGAAGTTACCGTTTTTTTTTCAATCAGACTCGTCCTCTGTTTTGTTCATTACTGAGGACCACTTGTAGTTAGAAGATGTTTTAAATGTAACGATCTTGAAACTGGAAATGATTTAGCCGTTGAATGGCACAAACGTCCTATCAAGCTTGATGAACTAGTGAAAATTTTCTATGGGAAATTTTCATTCATATACCATATAGGAAACTATATTACCAAATATGTTCATAGTTTGCAAATTACCCTTCATGCTAATAATATTTCTACAAAATATATACAATGCATTAAATAAGGAATTATTGTAGTTGTAGGATTCCTTATTTAGGCGCACTAAAAAGGGGAATTAAATATTCTTCCAGATCTTCCACAACGCAAATCATGCACAGTAATAATTATCGTCGGCTTCGTTACAAAATTTCCATACTCTATTTTTGCGATACACTCTGTTTCAACATTTTCTCTAATTTCACAAATCAAAAACGACCAAATCTTCTACAATTCTTCTACAACAAACGCAATTATGGCGAAAATCCCAATTATGCTACAACTGAATGAGAATTGGGATAGCTATGGGAGATTTAGAGAATTTCAGGTCAATGGCATTGTAGTCGATGAGGATGCGAGTTATAGTCTATTGATTTCTACAATGGCACAGCAATTAATGATTGATACATCCGAAAAAATTATAGAAATCAAATACATTGTCAACGAGCATTGTCCTCCAATGGAAATTAGGAAGGATATGGGTGTTCGTGTATACATGGAGATGAAAAAGGAAAACGAAAACTTAGGATCATATCCGCTATGTATAACTGTTCGCGATTTCAATATGGAATTGAGTATCACCAATGAGAACACAGTTGTAGGTGTGTGATGTTATTTTTTCTATGAAATTCTGGTACAATGTCAATGAGCTACACTTTATCTACATTTTATCTACAAATAAACTACATATATATCAATATAGATTACAGAATATATACAAAATTTCTACATTTATTCTACAATAAAACCACATATAATTTGAAAAATTAATATGAAATACTGAATTTCAACCTTTCTACAAATTATCTACAAACTGGTCATAACAGTATTTATATTTATTTTCATGCAGGTTCGTCTGGAATACTAAAGTTGCTTGATATGCCAACATCTCCCGTTATAGAGGAATATGAAAGTATAATAATAACAGATAGTACACCAAGTTCTATTGAAGTAGGACAAGTATACCAAGATAAGGAAATAATTGCAACTGCAATGAAGCACTATTCTGTCATGCACAAGTTCCAATTCAAGGTTAAAAGATCTAGTGCTAGAAGGTATGAACATATGAATAGTCAAAGATTATTATTTTTTTAATTTTGTAGTTTATTTGTAATTTTTTACTTCTTCAGTTTTTCCTTGTGATAATGTTTAACAGAATTGTAGTTGAATTGTAGTTATGTTGTATATAGATTGTATAATGTGATTGTTTAAGCTAAAACAGTCTTTTTTTCTTTTTAAATCTAAATTTTAAACCATTGTTTAAAATGTATTTATTTTGTAGCTACTGGCTGATATGTATTGGTGAAAACTGTACATGGCACTTCAAGGCAACTAGCATAAATGATTCTGCAATGTTCAAGGTCAGAAATTTCGACAGCCAGCGCACATGCTCTTTAATGGACAATACATTCATACAACGCAAACCTACTGCCATGGTAGTTGGTAGCATGGTTATTCCAAAATATTCTGATCCTAAGACAATTTACACATCAAAAGACATACAATTTGACATGTTGTCTGAACACGGCGTGAATCTAACCTACATGCAAGCCTGGAGAGCAAAGGAAAAGGCTTTACAGTTTTTGAGAGGTCATCCTGCTGACTCCTACAGCAAATTGCCTAGTTATTTGTATACTCTAGAGAAGAATTATCCAGGGGTCTATAGTTAAATTGAAGAAGACAGACGATGACTGGTTCTTGTATGTATTTGTTGCGATTTGTACGTCAATCAGTGGTTGGGAATATTGTAGGCCAGTT